CAGGGGCCAAGTGGAGCTGCGTGTAAGAACGGTGCTGGGAGGGACCCTGGGATGCCGAAAGGTCATTCTGGAGGATGGTGCTGACTAGGGAGGGCCCAGTCTTGGTGCTAGAAGAGAGAGGCACAGGTGCTGGAACCAGGGAAATGCCCCTAAGGCAGGTGGTCAGAGGCCCAGCAGGGATGCTGGCCCTGGCCAGAGGGATGTCGTCAGATGCTTAACCCAAGCAGAACGTCCGGTGAGGAGGTCAATATGGGTCCTTTTCCCCTGCCCAAGACAGTTCTCTCTATCCATAACAGATTTTATACCTCAAAGTTCCTAATTTCCTTCCGCCTCTCCCTGTTTGCCAGTCTGCTTTCTGTGATTGAATTACCCGAGGGCCATTCATCATGGAGAGTCATTTTTCCTCCTCCTAACGAGTAGTTTTAAATAGACTACAAAAGCTAAACATATTTTGGTGCCATTTTAAATAATTTGTGGGCCGGTCGTGCTAGCAAGGCCATTTCTTTCAGCTTCACCCTTGTCCCCCGAAATGGAAACACACATGTTGAAGATAATCAGGAAACCTTTGAAAGAGCATCTGTTGAGGGTGGCGGCCATATATCTTGGATGGATATCTGTGCAAACAGTTCTCAGGTTCAAAGTACAAAGCAACCTTTCCCACCCACCCCCAACTCCTTTTTGCATCATTTTGCTGGAATTGAAAAAAAATAATCCACAAGTAAGCAGCTGGCATTTTGTAGGATTCTCTCCTCTCCCAAGGCGATTGTTTAGAGAGACCACAAATAAGTGCCATAGCTCTTTAAAATCTGTTATTTTCCAGAAACATAGCCTGTCCTCCTTGTTAAATGGAAATTAATGCCCATTTTGGGAGGCACTGGATGCAATGATAGGCACTTACAGGAGTCCTCACCTAAAATAATTATAGTAACTTTTGAACGACTTGTTAGATGAAAAACTGCAAAGAGTACAACAAGCCCATTTAGGGAAATGTAACATATGTAGTTTGCTGTAGTGACAGCTGGGAGAGAGAAATGTTCATAATATTTGAGAGTTGTGTGCAATACACTTAGAAAAAAGAAACTGCAATGAGATTGTTAATGACATTCATGAAGTGAGGATAAAAATTTTGCTGGGATGTCATATTGATGGTTATATAAAATGTGTGTGTGTGTGTGTGTGTGTGTGTGTGTGCCAGTACTGACTCTTGTACTCAGGGCCTGGGTGCTATCCTTTAACTTTTTTTGTCAAGACTTGGCACTCTACCACTTGAGCCACAGCTCTACTTTCAGCTTTTGGGGTTGTTAATTGGATATAAGAGTCTCATGGCTTTTTGTTCAGGCTGGTTTTGAACCAGGATCATGGACTCCTGAGTAGCTAGGATTACAGGTGTAAGCCACCAACAGTCAGCTAAACCTTAAATTTTTTTTGGAGGGGGATGGGGGATGGGAAGGAGTTGTGAAGAATTAGCTCCCTCTTCAGTACACAGCCAATTAGCTGTGTCCTGACTTCTATGTCAAGATACATGGGTCAGAGGGCAGGGGGAGGAGGGGATGGGAAGGGGAAACAAAGGAGGAGGCTACAATGCTTGATAAGAAATGTACTCATTACCTTGCGCATGTAATTGTAACCCCTCTATACAGTATTTTCACAATAAAAAAAATTTCAAAAACATTTTTTTGTCAGTGTTAGAACTTGAACTCAAGGCCTGAGTGCTATCCCTGAGCTCTTTTGTTAAAGTCTAGCACTCTACCACTTTGAGCCACAGAACCACTTCTGGTTTTCTGGTGGTTAATTGGAGATAAGAGTTTCATGGACTTTCCTGCCCCAGGATGGCTTCAAACCAAATCTCAGCCTCCTGAGTAGCAAGGATTACAAGCGTGAGCCACCAATGCCTAGCTTAAAAATATTTAAACAACAACCAACTCTGGGGGATTTAATTAATGCTGTGCACATGAAGACCTTTCCAGTCAAATCAGGGCAAAAAATATATTGTCTTTCATATCATACAAAAATTCTGAATATGGTGAAGGTAGCATTTCAAACTGCTGAGAAAATGATGAGTTCGGTGAATGGTACTGGGATGACGCTTGGAACCATCTGGAAGAAAAGTAAAATTGGAACAATACTTCACACCTTATGCCAAAATATGCTCCAGATGGATCAAAAAATTAAATCCAAATAGTAACAAAAGTCCTAGTAGAAAATAAGGAAGAAAAATCTTGTGAAGGGGAGTGGGGGGTGGTATGGGGTTTTGAACTCAGGGTCTCACACTTGTTAGACAGGCCCTCGAACAAAGAACCAGACCTCCAGCTCAGAAAAAAAAATTAAGTACTATTTAAAACCTGGAAACCATAATTTAAAAAAATCCCACATAGCAAAGTACTACTTACCTATCCAAGATGCAGAGAGCATGGCAGGCTGTAGCTTCCATGTCAGCTAGTAACTAGATACTATAACCTGTCCAATTAAGAAAATCCTGGGTTGGGAAGGTGGCTCAGTGGTAGAGCGCTTGCCTTGCATGCCTGAGGCCCTGGGTTCGATTCCTCAGCACCACATAAGCAAAAAGAAAAACGCCAGAAGTGGTGCTGTGGCTCAAGTAGTAGAGTGCTCGCCTTGAGCTGAAGAGCTGAGGGACAGCGCCCAGGCCCAGAGTTCAGGCCCCACG